TGTTTTGTAATTCGAATCGCAAAATATCAAATTCAATATAATTTAAGTTAAGAGATTAGTTAGTATTAGTTTCTATTACAAAAATTTAAGTAAAAAAATATCTTAAAATTATGTCATTTTAATAAAATATTATCAGGAAATACTAAAACAACTTCATTTATGTTTTAAAAATTAAGATAATTTAACTTTTTAATGAAATTTTTAGATTTTTTTGGGGTTACTTTTTTGAAATATAACTTGATACTCACTTTTTTTTTTGGTCATGTTAATTACTTTTCATCATATCTTCTAGTTAAATGAATTAGAATTGATGATTAACTAGCGAATGCATTATTATGCATATAGACTTGTAGTGAGATGGTGATGCCTTTTGAAATCCGCAACGATACAATGTTTCCTTCTAAACCTTTCGATCTGAAAAGGTTTGAGGATGGTTGCATGAGTACGTATGGTGTCCGTCCTCGGCCACATTGGGTAACTTCTTATTATGGAGGCAATGTATGTAATATCCCTTTCAAAATTTTACTTCATATAAAAGAATAATTAAACTGCTTAATTTGGTCAATAACTTTTATTGAAAATTACTTGCAGGACATAAAATTAGTTTTACGAAGATTTGGTAGCAACATTATTTTCTCAAATGGGCTTAAGGATCCTTTTAGCAGTGGCGGGTAATGATAAAAAATAGATCAAACTCCATTTAGAAAAGAAAAAAAAAAACCATGAATTAAGTAGTTGAAATTATTATTATTATTATTATTATTATTTTCTGTCTGTCTTATTTGTCTAATTGTTGTTTGTGTCGTTTCAAACTGTAGGGTATTGGAAAACCTATCAGAAAGTTTGCTTGCCGTCTCTACCAAGAATGGTACTTTGTACTTAACTACGATTACATCAAACATATATGATTAATTTGAATTATAAATTAATACAAAGAGTTTCATTCTGTCTCTCTATATTTAATTTGGTTTTTTTTTATCAAAAAAAAAATGGTTTTGACTACATTTTAAGGAATTTCTCGTTTGGAAACACATGGGAGAATTATTTCCTAAGAAAATGATTGAGACAAATTTTTTATACACCCTTCTTACATGTTAATTATTTAATAATTTTTTTTACTTTATTGAGACTTATAAAATTGTATCTATTTATTAATTTAATAATATATAAAAATTATAAATAAAAATTATATA